GAGCCGTTGTTCCAAGGAACGCGTGTTTCAGCTGCGTGAGTTTTCTCCTCCCTTCCTTAGTACTGACCCTTTCCCCTGACCCAGATTTCCCCTCTCCAACTATGCTGATATGCTCGTAATTTTGTTGCCACTGCCACATGTTTGCAGATATGCTTTTGCTTCTCCTCTAACCAATGATGCTCGGGTACCCCAATTGGTGACTGTAAGCCAAATGGTCATGGTCCATATTGATTGTCATCAGAATGCAATTCGTAGAAGTGGAGGTGGACGGAATGTTGATGAATGGTCTAAAGTAAGTTGTTCAGTCCTGCTTCTTGAGATACTTTCCATAGGGCATCGCTCAGATTGGAATCGCCAGAATCCTATACCTAAATTGAAAGTGGTCTTTGATTTTGATGTATCTATCCCTTTTAGGCCTCTCTGCATAATGCCGGTGCCAAGTGCAACGCTCTAACTCCAATAGCTATTGGAACGGCAAGCGAAGCTGATTGGGCCCTTGCCATTAACAGGTAAACGTTTCTCTTTCTCGTAGCGACAATTTTTTAAAGTAAGGTCCATTAAGGTACCAAGCTGATCTGGAAGTGGCTGCTCCCGTTCCTCCACTGTGTCGTGCAATTGTCTTTGTCGACATTTGTGAGCTGATCGATAAATTCGTGTACTTCAGGTAATTTTGGCTTACTTGACGTTTCTTCTGAGGTTTCCTTCTGATTAGGGCCAAGTTCACCAAATAATTGGGCTAATTTCAATTCATCCATCCAGATCATTCTCGGAAGCATCCCAAGGAGGAGGGCGAGAGTCGAATGCGCAGTACTTGGCCGTTCTACACCTGTTAGCTCTCTGCCTTCCACCAGACGAGTTACCCACTCGTAACGCTCGACATCGTGTTGTGTCGTTCCTGATGACTGAGCTTACCCTGCAAAGTTGGCTTGAGCAACGAGTTGATGTAGGTTTTTCCGTCTTCGCGGTAAACTCATAGGTGGGAGCAGATTGGCTGCTTTCATAGTCCGCGATTTGACCCGCGAGCGC